GGAAAGGCTGGGACGGTGATGATATTAGGTCTGTCTGGGAGCTCGATCCCACGGGATTTGAGTCCTGTCTGACAGTTAATCCCTACCCTCCTCTCCCTCCCTCTCTTGCCTGGACTGAGAACAGGCCTGCCGTCTGTGTTCACAGTCATCTTTGCAAGAAGTGTCTCACCGGCATTGCTTAGGGGACTGGTACTGAGGTCACAGAGCCGATTGTCTTTGTCTGTTAATTAAAGATTGGAAATGTTGTTGCACAAGTGCTTGTGGCAATGCGTTCTGATTGAGGAGAGGGATGTCTTTTGTTTGAAATGGTCCCGACCTCAGTACACGTACATGTAGTTCACTCCTTGTTCAATATTTGGACCCAAGTCGCCGAATGTATCTCCTCTAGTAATAAGGCGTATTCTCTGCCTCTCCAAAATGGTAGTGCCACCGCCAGATGTTATGTATGTGGTCAAAGCCATAAGTCCACCCAAGACCATCCCAAAGTCACTTGGCCTTGTGGTCAAGTTGAAAACTATTGGGATGACCTGTGACCGAAGGCATTCTCCTTGTTCTTCTTCCTCTGTTGCTTGTGACTGTTTGGACTTGTGACTATAACACTGTCACAGCCTATTGAAATTCAATATCTATAGGCCTGTTCCCCCCCCCCAAAAAAAAACGGGCACCTGTTTTTTAAATCTCAGAATTGAAGTAAGAGGAAAAAAAATCAATTGATTGTATTGCCTTGAAATATTCTTATGGTTTACTCTCTTAGACTGCATGGTGATGCACTTCTTCACATAGTTATAATGTACCTGTATGAGCACAATATCCACCGACTTGTTTCAAAGTCAAATATGCAAATGTCTGGCTTCACACCTTCCACTGATAGTGCCACCCTGTCAAGAGAGATGAGAAACTGCCAGGCTGGAACCCTTTACTTGTCTGCAGAAAAACATTACAAAATGGGGTCCTTTGCCCATTTCTTGCCCGAGGGGAGCCAGACTATTTTCTGCCACGGCGTGATAAAGATCTACCGGATGGTGGCAAAATGCCCCGATGTGTCTAACGTATTCTGAAAGTATAATTACAGCGGTACGTGATGGTGAAACCTTTTCTCAGCCACACCAAGATTTTTCACACTTTGCAGAACATGCCTTGGGCAACCAGCCACAAAATGGCCCATTCTGAATGATAAATTTCAGGAAGATTTTTTCTCGGGTTTTTCTGCATTTTAATCAGTATCACTACTTCAGTTTTTATTTTCTTAACTGCAATCTTAATGACATGACTGCAAGGATTGTGCTTCTAACTTCTTCCTAATGAGTGTGAGAAAAAATCACAGGAATTGAACCCAGACTTCTCCACAAACTGAACAGCCATCCATTCTAAGCTGCTCAAACCTTGTGTCGGTAAATCATTGCCCATAGGAGAGTGTCCCTTTAACACCCAGATCATGACTGCTGATTAGTCACTACACAAATGACACAGGGAACTTCAGCGTCACCCCTGTATTGCCTGTGTCGGTCAGGATACCATCTGCTTCAGAGCACAACAGACCACTCTATAATTAATAGTCACCTCTTGTCTCCAGAGACTTTCAAAATACATTTTTTCCCTTCCCTGTTTTCCCACTTTTTTTTTTTTTAATATATTTGCTCAACGGAATATTATGTATGAGTCACTTGTAATTGCATCCCCTGATGTATGTATTCAACATACATGTATTTGTACGTTTGTGCAGGGTCCACCACTGTGAATTCACTTCGGCAGTGCAGTTGTGTATGACCATTCCACCTCTGTGGCATGACAAAGAGAAGGGCGAATTATATAATACAATTAGTACCAAATGCACTTGTACATGTAGGCAAGTCAACAGCAACCACTAATTGCTGGTACCCAGTGCATGTCAGTGGTAAACCTGTCCAGGAGGTTTGGTTAAACTCACCGGCGCCGGTAGTGTCGCCGAAATGTTCTGTTCATTCAAAACATGCAATTTTGTGTTCAGTGCAGTGATACGTGGATACAGCGTGATGTGCACACTGCACAGGTGTTTCATCAAGCGTATTGTGTAATTTATATTTCTGTTTACCCATATACGTGTATGTATACATGTATGTGCCGTCTACGCACACATATAATCATGCAAAAGTGTTAATTGGGTTCTCTTTTTTTTCTTCTGTTAACCATTTTATGACCTGACTTTTGTCTGTTCCAGACTAGGGACGTGAATATCCTGAAGTAAAAGGAAACATTGCCATCAAGGATATTATGGGGGACTGCATTTTAAGCTAATGAAGAAACTTCCTTAAATACCCACCCCTTTCCCCCAGTCACTGTAAAGTACCGTAAATAATGACTCTGTTGCTTTTATCAATTGTCTGAGTGCGTGGGATTTCTTGGCACTCATATGTTTTGGATACTCTGTATAATTAGAGCAAGGCACATTGATAGGCTGTGTGAGCAGGTGCACAGGCTGGCCTGCCATGAAGTCCCGGTTTTTCCCTCACACATTTCATTGCTGGTACTGACGTCATCAGAAGAAGATTGGAGCTCACTCTGTGAGGAACATATCAAACTCTTCTAAGTTCTAACCAACAGACTACCCAGAGACAGTTCTTATTAGAAGGGAAAAATCACATGCTAAGGCCTGATAGTAACAACTGCAACATTAACTGTCAAATCTTATTAGAACAGGGAGCCTCCCATGTTATGTTTGTGCTGCTTGTCACGTGCCCCAAACCTTTCAAGTTAAAACCAGGCCGTTTCACGTATTCCAAATGTTTCTCTCCCAGATGCATTAGGGTACACGTAGCATGGCACTAACAGCATCTATACCAGCGAGTTAAACCCTGCTGTGGATCGCAGGCAATAATACCCAAGTCTGTAATGTCATTAACGTAGTCTCCAAACCCGGTCGTTAGTCGGTTGCAAGTATTTGTCATCGCAAATTTCCCCTCCTATTAAAAGACTCCGGGACGAATTTGATTGGTTTGCCATCTCCCTGCTCTACATCCCATTGGGGAATAATTGCATGGCCTGCGTGTATGCGCAAGTTGCTAATATTTACAATTACGTGGGTTGATATAGGGATTACTGGTACTTACGATGTTGCTGTAATTATGTAAAGGAGCTTAATAAAGTAAGTTTATTACCCATGGATTTGCGGCAGCCTACATGTGCATGTAGTTCACTGTACTGCACGGGCTGCCAAATTGAATCGGTCTTCATATCAGCATCTTAAAGGCAAGCAAGGAATAAGCTGCATCTCATTGGCAAAACACATTTTAGTGCATCCACCAAGGGAGTCGTTTTAAACCAAAAGCTTGTCTGCTGAATTATTTACATCACATAGAAGTTAATATTCTGTATGCCAAGAACTTAACCATTGTTATAGCCAATTACATTTCCATGCATGCTTTGCTTTGAGTTTGAGGACTTTTCCACAAGCTTTAGTATTATGAGAACAGGAAAAAACAATTTTTGCATGAGTTTATGCCTGTTCCCATGAAACCAGGGACCAATTTCGTAGAGCTGCTTAAGCACAAAATTTGCTTGAGCGTGAAAAAAACCTTGCTTAAAAAAACAAAGGTTACCAGTTCAAACTCTATCTGATTGTCATGCTAACCAAGAGACAGCTAAATACGATCCCAAAACAATATACATCACATGGAGCTTTGGCTGGTTACCTGATTTATCAAGCAAGGTGTTCTTGCGCTTAAGCAAATTTTGTGCTGCTCTGTGGAATTTGCCCCAGGTGAAGTACATGTATTTTAGTTTTAATTTTCCAGTTAATTCAGCTAAAATAATAAGCAATTGACATTATTTTCACGAGGAGGAATTTAACCCTATTGTTTTTTTAACCATCTGTGTTTTGTACCACCTTGTCCACAGGTCCCATGTACAAAAAGTGCTCAAGTGCAAATTAAGATGTGTATACACCAGTCCAAAATTGCAGGAAATCAAAGGGTGTCCACTCTGGAGGAACACTCGGTGTATTATCCAAGTCTGTGCTCTTATTGTGTCACATTAATGTAGCATTAGTTACCACATCCTGTCTTATGCTCTGGCAGGACATTGTTCTTCCTGAAATGCTGTCTGATTGGGAAGTGTTTTGTTAGAGACTGTTATCATCTGTGATCATTTGGACCATGGAAACCGTCCAATTTTTACGTCCATGGCCTGGCTGGCGAAGTTGGAACGAGTTGTGGGAAGTTCCGAGTGTCCCCACAGTGTTCTAGTTTCCGTAGTAGCTGTCTTAAACGCGTCAAGCTGGGTCCCCCCGAGCAGGGAAAGCTCAGTTTGTGCGTGGTTTGGGATTGTTTTGTTCTCAGGATTCTTGTCCTTGTCTGAGGAAAGTAATACATGTACAGTACGTGCACGTAGAAGTTGTCAAACTTCAATGTAAAATGTTGAATGGAAAATACATGTGCGTGTACAGCTCACGCCTTCTTTTGTCACATTTTGTCCAAGACTGTTTTGATTGGATTTCAATTTAATCATTTATTTACATCATGGTTATTTGTGTTATAACGTTCATAGTATCGCAACCCGTGGTTTTGAATAAACAATAGATTTCCCCAGACTGATTGGTTTACAGGCACAAATTATGTTTCTGACAGACTTCGACTAAACCAACAAATACACAGGTGCCTGCAAGTGCTTTTATGTGGTTGTGATTTCTGGTTTGATTTTCTGGATGAATCAGTGAGTAGCCACTGTTTTCCAGGAGTACGTTTGTGCGAATTGTTTGCTTGCTTTTCTTACCCCTGAAATTGTAAAGAATCAGTTGTAATTTTTTTCCATTGTCACTGCTACACTGTGCATTTGTTTTTGGATGTCATGTTTCATTGAGTTGTGGCTATTTACCAGTAGCATTAATACCTTGTACACATTTTGACACCGATCACCTATACTGAGTAGATTTTAAAGCAGGCTACTGAGAGTTTATACTCATCCAGTTTATACATTTCCCGCACCAAGGAATCAAACCTGTTTGTGTTGCTGATCTCCCATCTCAGAATCAGATTGAGAAGAACCCAGGGGTGTACCTGAACACTGAGCAGCCTCCTTGCATGAAGTTCCTGGTGACAGAGGGAGACATCAGGAAGCAAGAGGAGCGGGTGCGAGAGATCAGGCAGAGACTGCGCAAGGTGCTAGAGGGTGACCTCAAACAGATACAAGGTACCTAGCAGGGTTCCTAGCCAGTCTTGGTCGGGGTGGGGAAAGTTGTGGGAGGAGCATCGGGAACCGAAGGGAAACAAGTGTAGGAGATCGGGCAGGGCACATACTAGGTTGGGGTGGAGGATGACCTCAAAGAGATAGAGGGTACATGTACCTACATTGTACCATAGCAGGGTTCGTAGCCAGTCTCCCATCAAGATGGATAAAATTGTGGGGGGGGGGAGCATCGGGAAGCAATAAAAGGAACAGAGGTCAGGCAGAGACTGTAAGGTGCTGCAGGGTGAATTCAAACAGATACAAGGTACATGTACCTAAAGGGGTTTTGAGCCAGTTTTCTTGAGGGTGGAGGAATAGTGAGAAGATGAAGCCAGAAGGGCTCGATTCAGGCAGTTTGGGGATGAAGGGGCTGGAGACACTGGTGGAAATCCAAATAAATACAGATCACATCTTGTCATATGCTGTGTTTTTCTCCAGTGCGTGGAGAACCAATGGATTTTCTACCCTTGAAATTGTACATAGTTTTAACTCTTCTCCCAATACTGAATTGTAAGTAAGCAATGGAGAAAATAATCTCTGAATTGTACAAATAGTGTGTATGTGTATAATTGCTGTGTTTAAACATTATTTTGAGGCATAATGCAGAATTTAAGGAAATATGTCAATGCACTTAGTGGTACTGTGGGGCAGTTTCTGAATTTTCATTGGATATTCATGATAATGCTTGAAATTAATATTCATTATGTCTACAAAGTTTGAGGGAAATGAATTAGGTTAAAAAGAAACTGATGTGCGTGTGGCATTCACCTCCATTGTCACTGCAACCCCAAATGAATTTGCCTTCAAACAAAATTGTATACAATGTATTTCTTTGTTGTGGAGGGTTTACTAGCTTCTGCACTAGGCTGTCACATACATGTAGCCTGTGAGTGATGCTCGCGCATGATCAAAGGGATGACTCACTCTGAGCGTGCGATGACTCTAACCTGCGTATCACGTAGTGCTCCTCATTATCCTCTACGCTCTGTGGGTTTCTGTTCACGTCTGTTTGCACTGGACATTGATCCGTGCACTGCCATGAAGCATGCACACGCAGTGGCAGCGCATGCTCGCTGGTGCACAAAGACTTAGACGAAGACTTGGACATAATTCTGTGACTCATCCCCCTTGAAGATATTCTCATGCTTTTTTTTTACTCGGTGAGTCACGATGAATCGTCATTGAATGTGAGAAACAGACGGCAGGGCACGCTGTAAAAACGCTTGATCTGCTGGATCAAAAAAAAAAGTCACCAATGAGCATTCTGTGCATTCATGAGGTCCACCTATTAATTTAAACATTTATTTTTCTCCCCATAAAAGAATTCTGATACAGGCAACTGTTTTTACCATGTGCTTGACGTTTTTAGACCGGGTCCGGCCGATTAAAACACTCCATACTGCTTTAGTAAGCCTGTGTGTACAGATGGGCTTCAGAAGAGGTGGATTGCAATTCTGAATATAACAAGTGGCGTAATTAATCAACCCAAAGAGGAGTACAAATTAATCATTAATTTTACTGCAATGAATGGCAGTGGAGGTGCCATTTTGCCGTGCCAAGGGGAAAAAATTGAAATCCGTTTCTTTTTTTTTTCTTGCTAAGGTTGATCCTTATCCTGAGGAAAAACAACAAAGATTGGTTTGAAATTGATATCCCTGGGGCGGATGTTACTTGTTTGACAATGTACATGTACAAGTATATCCCCAAAATAAGGGATTTTTTTTTAATAAGGGGTGGGATACGCACGTCAGAGGCAGTTGAACTCTGGCTGGGAGCCTGTTTACAGATCTCTGAAAGGAAATGTTCATAAACGTGCAGGATATTGGCTGGCGGTTCAGGGCTTTGTTGGCCCTCTGCCAACATTCATCAACCACCGATCCTATCCCTGAAAGTTTGTGAACTCTGGCAGGGCCCGTGCCTGGGGGCCGGCTTGGCACATGTACACGGCCATGTCATCGTGGCAAGGAGGGGAATTTCTTATTTCATTGTGACGCACGTTTTTAGCCAAAATAGAAAGAGCAGTGTTTATCCAACATAAACACAGCGGAATTTCCTCTTTTGGAACAGCGTTTTACAGGTACGCATATTTGTAGGCCTACAGCAAGCCGTCCGTGTACAGATGTTTAGAATTAAAATAGATACAGTCATGTTTCAATACATACAATGAATTGCCAGGGACTAAACGTTCCCAACAATTTCACTTGAGCCGACACAAGGCATTCCATGGGCAACAAACACTGTCCTGGAACACTTATCCAGTGGCTGCATCCCAATAAAATGGTCTTAGATTTTGGTGCATGTGATAAGCAGCCTTCTTTTTTTCTTTTTGGGAGAAACAGGGAAGCATAAACCTGTGCAGTTTACCCGGTTTCGGGAAGGGTGAAAGTCCCCAGTGGAGAGAGAAGTGGGCTTGTTCGTATTTTCGTTGTCTTTCCTTCAGTTTATATCACACTGTTTATGCTTTGACTCTCTCTCGTCTGTGAATGTATTTCCTTGACAGATATACATGTATATCAGTCATTTAGTAATTGAATATGTTATTCCCAGTGTTAGGAAATAGAATTGAATAAACTCTCAGACACTGAACAATTTAATCACTGACCAATCACATAGAGCAACAAAGTACAGAACTTTTGCGCAGCATAGAGAGTATTTGCCTAGCCCCCCCCCTACAGATTACCGCCTATTAAATACGGTGCACTTTGCTTGGAACCGGTTCTTGTATACATGTACGTAGCTGGTTTTTGTTGAGCAAGTACGGTAAATGTGTCAAGTAATATCTTCCTGCTGACCCAGCTCTGGAGTATCGCGCCCAGATTTTTCAACAGGAACCCTTACTGATAACAACACAGTCCAACAACTGACAAACCCAGAGCTTGCTTTATGCAGTAGAAGGTCTATCATTTCACTGCTCTGGTTAAAGAAAAATCAAACAGAAATCACCAGATGCTGGCTTTTACCACGCACCACAGCTTCAGCCTTGGGTTTAGTAACAGTCTAGTTTCTTCAGTTTAGGATGTGTTGTTGAAAGCCCCAGCAGGTGAATAATCAACACAATAAATGCAATTAAAAATAGACAGGAATCTTCCCGTGCAACTTGTGGCCAGGAAGTGTTGGATCACAGAGGGTCAGATGAAGTGCTAGAAAAGGTTTGGCGTAGAAGCCACACAGACGCAAACAAGATATTGCTGGTCGGGAAACTGTAATTTCACACATCCTTGTTTTTTTCATCATCGTGGGTATTCACAGCTTGTGTGAACTGGGACATCTTCACAGTCATTTCTGTGTACTGGTATGCAAGTAGAAACAACGCAATATGTGTGGATTAGTACCTAGGGAGAGCTTGTCTTGAACAGAATAAGACCCTTTTTTCATTGTGGCTGGCATTTTGGTAATAGTACATTGTTAGCTTCGGATTCATTGGATTGTGAGGTAACTGTCAAAAAGGGTTGGGCATGGATGAAATATCAGACCGTTTGAATCTAAACACTTTGTATAACTTTGCACTTGAAGACTTTTCTCCGGTATAGAAAGTATCACAAAAGCTACACTCCTTGTCCAATTCCACCCTTTATTCCACAACATTGCCACCAGCACCCCTAAGGGGCTCACTTTTGTTCCCCTCTAAGTCTGATTTCCATGTTTAGTCTTGGCTCTGTGCCTGCATGACTGGCAATGACTACGCTCAGCTGTTTGGTACTGAAATTAAAGTCTGCCGCTGGGACATTTTGAGTCTTGCAGTTGTTTCCACAAAAAAATGGAATGTGCTACCCATAAGTTCGAATGACTTTAAAAAGTTGTCTCCGTGTTCGAAATTTGCACAGAAATTCAGAACTTTATGTATGTACATGTAACGTGTAAGCCACGTATCTAATCTTGTGAGGTCTTGGTTTTGGTCAGCCCTCAGACAAGAGCCACATCCAGTACCTATTGCAATCAAACCGGTTTCTAGCAACAGGCATGGGTAATTACCGGAAGAAGTTGGCCTTCCTGTGGTGTCGATACATGTACAGGTTGGGTGTTCAGGAATTTTCTATTTTAAATTAAAGCCCACATCCAGTCATTGAAAGGCCGCACTAATTACCTGGAAAACTGTCTGACAAGTGGAGTAGTTTGGAGGAACTGTTATCCCCTGTCTGATGCCAAAGCAAGGAATTTACGTAGTGTTACATATTTGGAATAATGACGTTTTAAAGAAAATTCCTAGAGAATAATCCCTTCGGGGGGCAGGGGACTTATTTTGTATAATATCAACCTCACAGTGATTGCGGATTTCTGGTTTTTAGCCTGCCTAGGGTGGCCCTACTTCTGAAATGATATAAGAATGAAGTCATGATGAGATACAGTGAACAATTTTTACCTTATCAAAGTCTGGCTATCATGGTGCTACGCACGCAATGTACTCATTTCTGAAATGTTCAAAACTTCAAATGTTGCCTGTTTGTCTGAAGTGTCCGTCTACTCTCTGTTTCACTTTGAGCGATCAGTTTTGATAAAAAGTGTGGCACCTTCCAAAAATATTGGCAATCATGTAGGCTGGGAGCAGCAGTGTCGGGGATCAAGGCTACAAAACTCCTAGCACAACTACTGTGTAGCAACTACTAATACCTCAGAAACAAGCCACTTAAATTGTACAGCCTGCTGCACTTTGCTTGACTTTGACCAAGAATAGTATGTTTGGCTTTTTTAATACAAAAATTAGGAGGTGTATTCCACAGGGAAACAAACTATTTTTATCACTCTGCTTGGAAGGTATGTAAACAGTTTGACTTAAATGACCCTAACCTAATCATCTTATTTGTCTCTGTCAAAGCGTAAATATTTATTTGATGGTAGCAGTTAACCAGCACAGAGGGTACCAGCTATTGTTGCAGGCAGTGTTTGGTAGACGCCAAGATCAAAGATGTAGTAATGAACAGGAATGGCCCAGAGATGTTGTAATTATTAACAACATGAACGACATTCGCAGCTGGTTTCCCCTTTTGACTCTTGAATCTTGAACTGTCAGTGTACAGCGACCTCCTTCCTTCCACAAGGGATGTTGTAGCATGTGGCTCCAGTTGACATCCGTCTGGCACGTTTTTCGTCAGCTTGTTTCGTTTGTGATTGCGCTCTGCTAGCCAGAAATGGTTCTGGATAGACAGGCAGAATGTAGGTGGGGTTATGAACAGGGATGTGGTTAATCTCGGCACACAACTTTCTCTGTTTGTCGGCTCCATTCTTCACCTCACCCCCTCCCCTTTTTCCAATTTGCTGGCAACATGAAATGTGATCTTGAGAGGCCCGGTGAAGCTCGAAATGACTGTCTTATAGATGTGGGTCACAAGAATGCGTTGGAAAATGAAAGAATTTGTAAAGTGACTAGAATCTGTACAATCCACATCAGCATTTCTGTTTCACAAGAAATGTGGCACTGCTACAGTGCTTGATTCAAGAATCTTTCACTGTGAAAATGCGAGGCAGTTTGCCCTGCGTTGAGTGCCAGATTGAGCAAAAAGATCAAAATGTTAGTTAGAAAAAGGGTAGTCCAACTAACATTTTCTACAACTGTTGCATAAAATGAGACAAGTTTGCCCATATTTTAGAATCAACGCGGTTTGGTAATCTGTGTGCCCAACAGTGGGATGGTTCACCTGGTACCCAATATTGGGCAGAAAATCAGCCCGTGTTTTGACAGTGTTGTTGCCATTTGTGCTTGGTGACCAGCTGTTATATTTTGGGGCTAAATTACAGCAACACATGTAATTGGAGTTCAACCGTTATAGTTAAACATCAGGTTTCTTTTTTTTTTTGTAGAATTTAATTTTCCTTTGAAACTGTTATTTAGGGGACAAAGATGATAAGAGGTGCTTTCTGGAAACATACTTGAAAAAGGGAAGTCTATGCAGATTTTTCTTTCACTGGGGGAGGGGGAATAGCCCCTCCCCTTCCTCCACCCCACCCCCACTGTACAGTACCACTAGTGACCCTTTTCAAACCCTCTGATAAGTGTACAGAATCATCTATCCAACAGTGACACTGGTCAATCTGGCTCCATTGTGCCTGTGCTGTGACCCTCATATCTTTAATTAAACAACGTCGCCTATCCATTGTACCCAGATCAGGAGGTACATGTATACGTAGCTCTGGTGCCCTTCAGTTCTTTTGTCCCGTTGCTTCCTCCTTTTGTTTCATCATGTCTGCCCTCTGAAGCTGGAGATCTCCATCTGCAGACTTTGGGAGAAGAAAAAAAAAGTTTAGGTCAAGTTGTCACCACCTCCCAAACAATCTCCCAATAATTAATTGGTCGTGTACACACACACACACACACCCAGGTTGATAAGGCCTGAGATAGGCTCTTTCACCTTGAGCTGTTCTTTGTGAACACTACCTTCATGAGTTAGACAGCTATTATCTGCAGAGGGTAAATGTAGGACCTTGTGAGGTCAATCAAAGAGCAAGGAAACAGGCTAGGTGGATGGTTTGGAAGGGGCATCTATGTACATGCAAGCCTCCTTATTTACATATTTGGTTTTCTGGGCAGTTCATAAACCTATACCTTTCCGGGTGTCGTTGCTTATGGGTAACACCGCCCTCTGCCTCATGAGACCCAGACTCAGAAACCATACAAGGTTCTAGCCAAATGAGTTGACTGGGTGTGCTGTGGACCTCCAAGAAGGGATTTTAAGCACCCCATTTTGCAGATGCAAATGTATGCCAAAGTAGGAAGCTCAGATGTCCACTGTTTCAAATTTATGACAGGTATCAGTTTTCAAGATCCATTGATTCTTTAGTAGTGCACAGCCTCCCCTCTCAAGGAACATACTGTGAAGAGGATGTGCTTCCGAGACTTGCCTGAGAAGGGAAAAACTGTTACACGGCCCTGTGTTTGCTCTCCTGCTTGGCCAGGGGCAGACCCAGGAATTTCCTGTTGGGCCACATGATTATTCCATTTAAATAGCTAGGGGACACAACGAAACGTTCGAGCGTTAAAAAAAAATTATTTTTTTTTAAATTATTGTGTGTTTTTGTTTGTCTTTTCATTGCCTTACCTTTCTTTTTTAACGCAAGAAGTGCATCTCCAGTACTGCCATGGGAATGCATGTAAACAGTGCGTGAGTGCTGCAGTTGGGCAAGCAGTGGCAGCCGGGCTTTAACTGTGGCATGCACAAAGCTTCCTTCAGTGTGGTCACATGGCCACCATAAAGAGTGAAGAGTGCAAGCGTGCAGGCTAATGCAAGCATGCAGGCTACATTTGGGCCATGGTAGCAATCAGGCTTGCTTCTGGAAGCCAGGATTTGTTTAGGCTACGGGTGGTGGTTGCGACTAGTCAATTACAGTGGCAGCAAGCACGCGTGCGTCCTCGCGCAAAAAAAGACAAAGTATGCTTTGCAGAAAGGGCTCATAATTGAAGTCTCACGTTCTTTTTACACTCTTTGTCAGTGATTTGGCAGCGGTCTTTTTCGATCGGCCCTTCAAAAACTTGTGGTTAAGCAGATGTAGTAGTGTGGGCATTTTGAGTTACGGAGGTCTTTTTGTTCATAAAAGCCTATTTTTGCACGAATAAAGAATGTCTTCGAGATAAGTGGAGTTTCGAGTTAATCGACTTAGAGTTAAAGAGAGTTTACTGTAGAAATAATCTTAGTTCTTGTGATCCTTCTTTCAGCTGAGTTGGAGGAATCAGAAGAGGAGGAGGGTTCAGAGTGATCAAACCCCGCCCACAACAGGAAAACCATCAATCAATCAACCTGTAGCTCCGCCCAGTGTCATTCGTACACTAGTTCACCAAAGCTCTGTGCACCAGACTTTGAATATGTATGCATTGACCTGTGTGACTCCGCCAACTTGTTCCCTGGCAGTTGTTCTACACCAGACTGGATGGTGTACGCTGTTTACAGACATTGAATATTTTTTGTTCAGCCAAGTGTATGGCTCTACCTACTGGCTATTAAGCAGCTGCCCCATACCAGACTCCGTCTAGCATAAGTCCCTCCCTTGAGTGTTGGAGTTGCTCCACCCACTGCCACCACCCACCAGTTGTGCACGAAGCAAGCATCACTTAAGCGTCTCCCACATGGGTCAAACATGTATTTAACTGGCTGGATAAAATTACAGTAACCGCCTCCCAGAGTGTGCCAGACTGGCACTTCCAGCTATGCCCATCAAATTTGACTCCAGGTGAATTAATAGTTTCTGTCCAGTCGTTAATTTAAATTGGCTGTCTCAGTACCTTCAGAATGTGTTTCATCCGTGTCAAGCAGCCAGGGGGCAGCTCTGCCTTGGTGAGGAAGGCCCAGTTATGATATGCATGTAAATGCACCTGTATAATAGCTGACTGCATAGACGCTCCTGAACATTAATGTCAACCGATTAACTCCACGCCTACAGTATGATAGTTATGCGCCTTATTCTTAATCACCTGATTTCCTTGTGTCAGTTTACCTCCCTTGGTTGGCATCACAATTTTCTTTGAAATTGTCCCACTGCTGGGTATTTCTGTGTCTTTTGTAACTGGCTTTCAAGTTTTTATTGATGTTTAATGCTGAACCCGCCTGCGCACGTCTTGGTTAATGTGCCGTAGTGTCAGTAACAGAAATTGCCCTCCCTTCAGCTTCGCTGTAGAACATGAAGGGCCATTCTTCCATTGCTTTGCTTTTAAAACTCAGTAACTGCTTACAGAGTTACAGAGCTGTTCAAAGGAACACATTCAAAGGTAGAAGTAAGGTCCAAACTCCACAGACGGTATTTCATTTTTCAGATGTACACCATTCCAAAGACCAAAGGAATTATAGTCTGTTGACGAAGGAAGTAGTATCGTTGAAATTTCTGTGAAAGCATTACAAATTGCTTGAACAGTCATAACCAAGGCTTTGTTGGGTTATTTTTCATTGGTTTAATTAATTGTTTTGGGAAAGCTTGTCTACATCATCATCACAATTCTTGCCTAGTTGAAAATAGCCAAAGGAAGTCACCTGTGGGAAACAACGGAAGGAACGCCTTGTATTAACTGCCAGTATGCGCCCCGGTACACTGAGGAATGTCCCAGATTGCAGAGAAATTCCTGTGTAACCACAGTTGGAGGTATTATTCAGAAAAAAAACCCAACAATCAAGGACCAGTTGTATGGTGTAACATCTGGCATAGTGTTTGCCCCGTACTGAGATGGTTCCCGAGTGCACCTTGATCTTGTACTGAGATTCGCCTGTAGGCGATGCACCTTTAAGCCAGCTTGTAAACCTATCCCCCTTGCAACTCATGTTTTCCCAGTTACTCAAATATTGTAGATCCCCCCCCCCATCTGCCGGGGTACTAGTGCGTGAGCATTTCATTAATGGAAGCATTCCCGCAGCACACAGAACAGTGGGCAAGAGCCAGGATTGGATCCACGCCTCTCCAGGCACGGTCTGCATACTGTGTAGGATCAGAATGAAGAATAACAGCAGCAGGTAGAACCTTCATGCTATGGAAAAAACAAGTGCAGTTTGCCTTCACTTACACTGCGAGGATCCGAGACAACACATTTTGACACTCATTCCACCACTAGATGTTTTTCATTTTTCCCCAAGCCCGTTAGAGATATAATCAAAGACACAGACTTTCTTCACAACACATATTGTGTGCCCCAATGTTCCTTGTTTTTTTTAAATGAGTCTATTTTCTTATTAATGCTGCACAGCATGTTTACGTCCCATACAGAAATTTATCCGAAGTAAGCAGGCATTTGTCGGAGAGTGAGTTACCGAAGCTTCTCCATATGTTGTAAGGAGAGTTCTCATCCTTAGCAATCATTGATGGAATTAAATCGATTTGGAAGGTGGCTGTCATCTGGTACTCGCATACATACATTGAATCACTGATACAAAGCCTTCCTTCCTACTCTGCAAGTCTTCATAACATCGTACTACCTACTCCCCATATTCCCCCCCCCTCAAAAAAGAAAGGAACTCAGCGGTAAATGGGACATAAATATCACAATTAAAAAAAAGTATAACATTGTTGACCCAGCCTTACCAAATGAGTCTGAAGACATTAAGGTCAGTTTAGAATTAATGACCATTAAAATAAATTTACACAATGTACATGTATAAAAGCCAAAACCCTTCAACGTCAAAAGACCATAATGCTCATTTTAATCAGAAAGCCAAACAGAGTGGTACTTCAAACCAAAGATCTGTTTGCTTTCATTAGTTTACTAATGCACACTAACACAAAATTACTTGGAAAAAAAATGTCCTCAAAACTCCTTTTTGTGGGATCTTTTTACATTTGTGTATATTTCAACACAAGTTCGTTCTGACTGATCAACTGAATTTGAATAGTCGTCCGTTTCCAAGATTCAATAGGATGGAGCAATTCCCAACTGACTGGGCGAAATCCAGGTCAGCCTTCGCTAATCGCGGTGCAGCAATTGCAGGACTGCATCTTTATTGCTTGGTTTCTTGCACTCAGGCTTGAGAAGCAGGAAATGTAATCGCGTTATGAACCGTCCTGTAAAGTGTGGAGAGTCCAAGGAAGTACATGAACATGTATGAAGTGTACAAGTTGTATTCTGTGATCAGTCATTGTAAATCTGGCATTTTCCCCCTCTGCACAAGGTGGAAGTCTTTTTTGCAGAGCAGTTTTTTCTCTCTTAATTTATGAAGAGAGCTTTTAAATAAGGACAAGCCTGTAAATAGATTCTTCTAATGCTTCGTTGTACTGGAATATTCAACATAACTTTTGTACATTTTCACATGGTGTCCAAGCTTTCCCCGTAATTGTTTTTACTGGACCACAAGCTAGACAAATAAAAGAATAAGAGTTTTACACAAGTCAGCGTCTGACACTGATTTATTGGTTGAGGTTTGGTTTGTCTTCTTTGTTCGTGGAAACTGAAAGTGTATGTTGATTTCTTGCCAAGTGAAAGCTACCAAAGAAAGAGAACAATGTGTCCTTGTTCCATTCTTTCACTCTCGGACTGAAAAGGACAATGTACATGTACTTATAAATTCAGATTTATTGAATGGTGTCCGATCTCCAAGATAAATATACGTGAAATGTCGGCAGTGACTGCTGTGAAAGCAAATTTTCACGTTGTAGGGTGACGGTAATTGTACATGTATATGTACATGTACTTGATCATGTGTGACTGGGTTTGTTCTGCAGCAACAGGCACAGAGTATACTGAAGCCTGCAGGAGCTCCTTGGAAACCCAGATGTAAAATCTGAGTTTGTGATGGAATGACTTGTAGATGTTGCTGCACGTTCCCCTCTCCCACAAGATTCCCCCTCTAACTTGCCCCACCCCATCGCCACCCTAATACCTCCCAACCACCGTCAAATTCAATAACACAGGTCTGCCCTTTCTGAAGAGGTCAAAGCTGGGGGGGGGTCACTGCTGGGGGATACAGGGAGTTCATAGCACCAGTCCTCGGTGGTCTATTGTTGATCTGTCTGGGGCTGAGAGGAGGAAGTTGTAATTTTGTGGAGACAGCCCGTCCAGTGCACCGCACCCTTTCACAGGAGTGTGAGTGGCCTCTTAAAATTAAAGCTGAAAACAGCTAGCAAAGGGCTGAAATGTAAAAAGTTCCCATACTTTTGTGCAGACCATGTGTACATAAAAGCTGGAATTTAGGGTCAACATCTGCACAAAAAAGCTGAAATCAGCTAAAAAGCTGAATTCTCACACCCCTGCTTTCAGCACAAAAAGGTATCTCACAGTGGGTGGATTGGACGGGTTGGCTTACACTCCACACCCTTCCGTTGGACCAGTAGCTATAGCAACAGAAAGAGACAACTGAATTTCCTCTTCTGTAACGTCATACAATTGGTGGTTGGTTTGTGTGACCACTTGTGTACACGTATGTATGTGAAATGACTTGTTTGTATGTACATGTACATGCAGTAACCGTCCCCCACAGCCTTTGAAAAATGCAGACCTCCAACACTTCCACCAATCCCCTTTGAAAAATTCAGGAATTGGCACTGCTGAGGTCCACCTACTCAAAAGCAGCCATCAAATCATCCAAACATCAACTTTGTCAATTTTGTTAACCTTATTTTCAATTTTTGTTGTGCTGTATCAGTTTCTATTTTGGAGCCATTTTATTTTCTATGCTGACGCAGTTTCCATATTCATGAGCAAAATTGTGATGTCATTCTAGGCACTGAGCCTCAGGGTTGGATTGCTTTGTGCTTGTTTCATATCGTGTTGTAAATTTCTGTTTCTTTGGCAATTGATTGATGCATAAGTAAGCCAGTAAGCAATCTTCTCTCCAAAATTTGCGCATGGAACATGTAAACTGAGCAATGTCATCCCTGATTTTTATTACACCAACAGCGCCCTCACTTGTTCGGACAAGCTTGGAGTTTTATCATTCAAAGAGGGAACTTTTCAATACCCTTCAACCAAAACTGATTTCAAACAGTTGTTATGTCAGACAAGAAAATAAAGATGCACAAAATCCAAGTCAAAGAAATATTCATGGCATGGATCCTTTAATATTGTAGGCGACATTTGGGTGGAAATTTCATAACCTGCTTGTCTTCACCCGTGAATTGGAACAGGAAGGTTCGTTCACCTAACAGATAATAACATGCAGTGATGCTGTGTGCCTGCAGTCTGACAGTGCAAAATTGCACGACATGATCTCAGTGCTGGCATTTGATATTCCGACAGCACTCAAGACGAGCGCGAGAGTGCATGGTGAGGGTACAACTGTGAATCGTCATCCAGGGAAATTTAAACTCGATCCTTGTGCGCAGAAACTTTGTTCAAAGAACATCCAGAGTAGTTTCACCTACGTATCCCATGACGAAAAAAAAATGAGAAATGTGACGTGGCGTTTCTCAAATAAAAAATTGAACGGTGATATGCCAATAAAATGTGCAGTCTTTTGCCTGAGTCAAATGTATTGATATTTCAACATTTTGAGTCCCTCTGGTCACAATTCTGAATATGCAGAGCACAGCACAGGATATTATAATACCCCTCCCTCGTGTGGTTTTACATAGGAGTAATTAAGAAGCCAGATTTACAGGGATTCATAGCCAAATTCCAATTCTTGGTATTGCATGCTGTTTTCACATTACGTGCTTACCGGTACTTCTATAAATGTATATGACATCTAAACCTAGTAAGCCAGAAAGACTGATATGCTGTCCTCCATGGAACAGCACCTGTCCTATCAGCAGTCAGCACCAAATACCAGAAATTGGCAGACAGATCTGCTCCATTATTGCTACATTTCTCCACAGGAGCACACCTGAAATTTACTTTCAACCCGAGTTCACTTTCATCCATTAATGCACCCCCAGCTAGACCAGGCCCCCCCAGCTGTCATCAGTACCTGGTGAAGGACGCTTCATCTGCTTCTGATATCAACACCGTTGTCTCTCTTGGAATAACCTGCTACGGTTAAGCATCCATGGTATTAATGTCAGCTGATCAGTACGTCATACTAAGCAAAGAAGACAGCCCTAGTTTTTCTCTAGCTGTTCACTGTACTGGCATCATTTTGCCAGTGGCTGACGGCTTCTTGACTCTGAGGCTGCTCAGTCAGGTTTCAGAATCGAACCCTCAGGGATAGGAAAGTTGAAGGGTATAGCATGAATGTGGGGGCAGCGTTGCAGTCGACTCCCTTTTTGAGGCCACAAGCAAACAGTTATATGAGATGAGGTTGTAGGACTCCCCTTGGAGTACCCAGACTGCCTGTTTGCTCATTGAAGACTAGGTGTCGGCACATACATTTGCATAATTTATTCTTCCATACCCATGTCATTTGCATATCCAAACCCTAATGTATCTTTTGCAAGCCCTTATGCTCGTAACATATCAGTGTCTAGATTGTCAACTTGAATTCCTGCTGTGCCACGTCATATTTTGCTGTTTGTTGGACTTGGACAAGGACTCCTCCACAGCACTGTGTTTGAGGACCTAACTTGTCCACTTCAAATGAGCAGAGTAGATAATATTGGTTCATGTAGGTTTCTATTGCATTGCCAGCACCGTAAATTGATTTAATTATTGAGAGAATAAACATTTACAAGGCTGGTCTTTAATATAATGCCCAAGCTGAATGCAAGAGACATTTTGGCTCTGGCATTATCAGCGGCCACTCTCCTGAACTGGTCTTAAACGATGTTTTCAGGCCAAGCATGTGTATTTATTCTCATTCAAAAATACCTTTTGAGTCACTAAGTCCAAACAAATTTTAAAAATTGGCACATTTCCAATGATTCTGTTTAGCAATTTTATTGTAGTGTATTTTCAAACACCCTGTAGCCATGATAATTTCATGGTATGTTCCTCTCGTGAGTAGTCATAAACAATCTCTCGTAATATGTCACGCACAGTTGGCGTATAAGTCTGCCTGGGCTGTATCAACCTTTAAGACTGGCCACATGATAAACTCTCGACCAATGAGAATGGCTAAACTGTCTCAGGTATTCATGAGGAATATTTTCACTGCTACATGTCTGTGCTTTTTCCTGAACATCTCTTTTCATTTTTTGGAGGTCAACTGACTACACGGCCATTCTAGAGAAGTAAAAAAAAAATGGCCAATGGCAAAAAACTCTGTGATTGATGGGATGTTGATTAACATCATCCTTTTTTAAGCATGTGTAAATCAAAGAGTCAAAAAACCACTTCTGAAAGAAACGGAAGCATCAAGACCATAGAGGCTACACAAAGACACAAGATGGGTCAAGCAAATGAATACTGCAAATTGATGTGCAGAATTTGTGGTCAGTGACTTGCACACTGACACCTGATACAACACTAACATTGTTAATTGATTCAAGTCTCAAACCACCATCATCAAATTTACACCTGGACTACCCAAGCCCCCATTAAAATTCATTAACAATGGGTTCTTGGCATGACCAAGTGTAATGTGGGGTGCCTATGGAAAACAAAGAGCAAAGATTCTTGTCAATATTTATGAAGTTCCCCACACCGGTTAATGGACACATTGGTTTGTGAGTGAGTTGTAATGCATCTGGTTTGTTGTCAAGGGAGGTATAGCAAAAGCAAGTAATACTAGGATTTTTGTTGTTGCTAAGTAAACACATTATATCAAATAACACAAGCTAAATGCCTTACGTGCATTTGGCTTGAAGTTTCAGTATGTCAGGCGTAGGGAAGGGGAGGGACACTGGGTGAGTTTGGTCCTAGATTCAAACAATGCAAAGCATGTTTAATATTAATTTTCTTCTTCACTTTATTGGGGGGATGCAGGCCTCCAACTAGGATCATTCCCCCTCCCATTTAAATATACCAGTCGAGAGTTTGACTTTGTCAAGCCTCTAAATTTGGACATTAATTTGTCTTCCTGTGTGACAACAAGATGGAGACGTGTAGTATGGCTCCATCTATACTCAAAATAACTTGGATACATCTAAATGGTTTTGAAGGCTCTCCTGTGAAGAATTTCTGTCCAAGGCCATTTTATTTTTGGCACACCCCAACCCCAAAAGTAGAAATACCCCTCTACACGTACATGCCCCCCCCCATCCCTGCAGGTTTAAAAAAAACCCACCTAACCTGTCAAACCACTTAAACTAAAGACTTAATTACATGTGATTGAGGGATTACGTAAGTGCATGCAGTATCCCCGTTCAATTTCAGCTGAGTCAGCTCGAACCAATCCAGACTTTGATACCCCGGCACCATTAAGTTTGATGAAGCTTCAGTCGGTCAGGTGGGCTCAGGTGCGCTGACAAGTGGAGAAGTGAAAAGACAAACCTCCTGAGATGAGGTAGTCATGGCGAGGTGTCGCTCCACACAAAGCCAGCCCAGATGCATTTATGCGAGTTTTGACTGTCGGCA